TGAAAGAAATTTGCGACAGCTCTGTACCGACGGATTTGTACCCGTCGTTATCCGTTGCAAACAATGTGTTGCGACAGATATTTGTTCGCTGTGCGACGGATGTTTCCGTCGCATATGGATTGTATTTTTGTAGTGGGAGGAGATTTCACTTGATTCTTTTTTTTTTGTTAAGTGTAAATTTTATATATGTTGTTAATAACTACAAAATTTGCGGCGTTTACAAAACAACAGTAGTCTCAATAGATAAACCTGGGAGATTATTTCAAAGGATCAAATAGACGAAACCAAAGGGTGAGTGAACTTTTCTCCAGCAGCTCCGATAGAGAAGATTGGTAAGCAGAGATTTTACATCTTACCAGTCGCAAAATTTCCTTTCGTAGTGTAGAGTGAGGCTTCGCCGGACCACCGTGAATCCTCCAGTTATGCTCTTGCCATATCAAGTAAACAACCGCTTGTAACAACAACATCACTAAGTTTAGTTAGAGGTGTACTGTACAGTGTTATAGGCATTATTTGTACAGTGTTATAGGCATTATTATAGGTGGCTAGTAAAAGTTTGGAGTGGCAGTGGAGAGATTGAGGCGTGTTGAAGTAGGCCAGACCATATCCAAGCCCCACTTCCCTTCCCGTGCGTTTGGCACACCTGTTAGTAGGGGTGTCAATTTAGGCCCGAGTCCCGAAGTTCGGCCCGGCCCAACCCGAAAATTAACGGGCTTCAGATCTATATTTTTTTGTCCCAAAAAATCGAGCTTTCGGGCCGGACTCAAATCGGGTTTCAGGCTCGAGTCGGGTCGACCCGAAAGCCCGATATTTAAAATAAAATTACAAAGAGAATTATGTGGACCGACCCGACCCGAGTCTGGAATATATAGGGTCGGGTTTCAAACTTAACTATATGGATCCAAAAAAAATTGGACTGGCCGAGCCCGAACCCGAAACCTTCGGGTCGAGTGCGAGCTCGGGCCGACCCGATTGACACCCCTACTTGTTAGTGATTATAAAAGCAACAACACAAAAGGTAATAATGATACAGATTATCGACTTAATTAGTTCAAGTCGACCCTAATAGAGAAAAGGGTAGAGAATCGTTTGGATTTCTCATTATTCAATATAGAGAATTACACTATTTATAGGCAGAAAATAAAATCACAATATATCTTATTTAATTAATATAAATATAGAAAAGATAAAAATAAAATCAAATCTAAATATTACCTAATCTTCTTGAATCTTCTCTATATCTCTTAATGCGCCCTCAAACTCAAGGAGATGAGAAACAACTGTTTGAGGTTGAATTCTCAATAAAATAGCGAGATTTGATTGAACATAGAAACCAGTGGATTGTTGGCGAATCTAAAAAGTCCGGTGTGACGCAGAAGTATGGTGCACATGCACGGTATTGATGTGTAGCATGACAGCAATGTCGGCAGCGCAAAAGACGCGATGGTTTAGCGGCTAAAGCCAGAAAAAGAAAAATAAAAAGAAATGTGGTGCAAATACACGAATCGACGATCGGAGTTTTTCAATCGAAGGAGTTAAACCCCGAGTTTAGAAGAGATCCTTACGACGTTTATGTTAGAAACAAATAAGGCAAAATATAATTATCACGATATATATTTTATTCTTAATTGATATTATGCCTTTAATTATTATCAATCATATCAAATCTCCATATTTTGTTTCTATTTCAACAGTTTAGTCATACAGGCTCTAATACCATAATAAATAAAAGGGTAAAGAATCGTTTGGATTTCTCACTATTCAACATAGAGAATTACAATATTTATAGGCAGAAAATAAAATCACAATATATCTTATTTAATCAATATAAATATAGAAAATATAGAAATAAAATCAAATCTAAATATTACGTAATCTTCTCGAATCTTCTCCGTAACTCTTAATAGATTCGCAAAAGACAGATGGCATACTGTCCAAGAGGAAAGTTTTCCTCGAATTGCCTCTCGTAGGCTAGCAGAGTTAGCGTCTCCGAGTTTAGTTGTCGTCAAAGGCAGTCCTAGATAGCAAACTAGCAGTGCGGAGGGGGAAATACCAAGTCGGACTGCAGTATCAGTTCGGAAGGAGTTATTGTCCCTATCCAGAAAAATACAAGTCTTGGTTTTGTTGAACTTTAAACCTGATAGTTGGTGTGAAATTCGTCTAAGATATCAAGTATATTCGATAGGGTTCTGAAGGAGTTGTTAGAAAAAAACTAGAACATCTATACAATAAATAAGGGTATTTTGGATAAATTATAGCTTTTTTAATTTGTATGTTTAAATCTTAAACGTCATTTAAAATGAAATAGAGAGAGTAATATATAACAGTGTGATATGATCATGTTGTAGAATACTGATGAAAACTTAGGCTGAAAGTGAAAGTAAGTTTACCAATAAGTTATGTCTATAAATTGTTATATTTAGTGGTTTCAAAGTTTCCGTATCAATTTATATATTGTGAGGAGGTAGATGTACAACGATCTAAAACGGGCCTACTCCAAGTCACGAGGCATAATCGTCGGCTTTAACAGTAAGCATATAAGGTATCTAAATCACACTGACAAAGATCTCCTTGATTTTCTCACTTACAATCACGAGGTCGAGGTGGTCCAACCCACGAATTAGTATCTCAAATAGAGCTTAATTAAATAACAACTCCGAAAAAAAAGCAGGGGCCAAGTATTTGAATAGGCGCAACTGGGAGGGGCAAAAACGGAAATCAAAGCATGGTCTAAAAGCAAAAGGCAGCAGTAAATAGAGACTAGAGTGATATATATGGAGATGCGTGAAAATTGGAGAGCAAGAATAATACTTTTGTATTTTTGTAAGTTTGCCACAAAGATGATGACGTGGAAGCCGGCGTTTGAGGGAACCAGATGCTACTTTTGAAGGCACTTCTTCTGGTTCTGTCTTATAATGAGTCCCCGTCCGTCTGATCCCTCCATGCTTTGCTGTTTCAAGCCTCCCTGCCTTTAATGACTTTTTCTTTTTTCTACCCCTCAAAATTGTTACTTGTATTACCATCCCTAGACATAATATATTTATACATGTGTGTGAATAATTCATGTGGCTTGACGGTTGAATATTTATATGAAAAAATCTTTTTGCATTTCGTGTTTGCGGTATACAATTATGTTTGGGAGGCAACTGATTTATAATGATCATAAATACATGCAATTGTATATACTCACCTCAACCACGCGGACATGAATTCAATGTTGAACCATTTCCCATATATAGTTACACATATACCACATGTTTTTTTTTTGCGTTATTCGTTTCCCCACAGATCGTGTGAAAGGTTGCATGGCTTTAGACCTCCATGTTAACGTACTCATCAATTACCACACTTCATACTCTTTATGGTCAATCCACATGCACTTGTATATGAGAGAGACAGTTTAATATTAAAGTATACAAATTGATGCCAATGTATCTGTATAGTCACATTGTTTGAACAATCAATTTGTGATCAAATATTAATTGTGAAGACAATAGCGGCAGGGCAGTTGATAAAGAAAGCAAAGCATCTCATACATATATATATATATATATTTAACTTTTTTTTTTTTAAATTTGTATGTTTAAATCTTAAACGTCCAGACAAAAACCCTTGTAAAAACGTATGCTCAGTCTGATTAATACAGAATGCAGGTGTCGCGATTCTTGGGCTGCAGATAGGGAAGCCTTCTTGGATCACGGGCATGGTCCTACAGATTTACTGTATCTCCGTATATAGAATTTTGACACGTCTGGTTGGAATACAGCAAGTTTGAACAAGTCAATGCATGAGGTGGGAATGGTGACAAATCCATGTGTGACATGAGAGAGATTTTGTGGGAGTGATGATTAAAGAGGTAAGAATGTCTTTAGCCGTATGGAAAGGAACTAAGGAGCCACAACACTGAGGAAAAGGGAAAGTGGATTGGATGCCTCCATTAATTGTATAATATATGCATTAGAAGGAAATAGTATTTTGTATGCAAGGGAGATAAAAAGAAGAAGAAAAATGGGTGGGAGCAGCTGGTATAAGTCTCCTCCAAACTATTGAATCATAAAGCTTTTGTTTTTTAGCCCTTTGGGGGATAATTGATCTCAAAAGAGAGATTAAAGACGTCCCTACATGTCTACTTGTGAGTTGTTTTATATTCTTTTTGACAGACGATCGATCGCGATTGGTTGACGGCATTTCAAATGGTTGAAGTTAATCTGCATCTAATTTTGATGGAGTTTCAAAAACATAATACATAGTTTGCATGACATTTCCCCGGGAACGTGTGCACTCAGCCTGTCTTTTGGCCACAGGAGAAAACCTTGTGATCTGCAGCATCTTTTTGGTGAAGATTAGTCAAAGCACTGGATGCAGCCAATCGTTCATCTGGTAACCACCGTTGCGATTATTAATGTTTCCATTCGAGACGACCCACTAGCCTGCAAGATCATACGTAGAAATTAATGCTCGTATGTTTTTTAGATAAACATGTGGGTGCAGTTTGAAGATGAATCCATTCCGAGTTTTGCAGTTTTCAGTGTGATATATATACATATATATAAACGCATGAAACCACAGATGGACTGGACAAAAGTTGGTGTGATTTTCTGTTAGTGACAAAAGCACTTCGTCTGCCTCACACTTCACCTGACTCACAGAATCTTCTAAAGCCCTACGTTTCATAGCCACTATATATTATACGCTATCATGTGCGTACGCAGTTCCTTAATCTGATCACTGACCAAAAGCCAGCCAAACTAAGACAAAAATAATATAACCTCACAAGATGCCAATCCAATGGCATCCACGTAATTCCGTTCAAATCTCGATGCTTATCATGATCATCCTCAATAGTTGCCTATATATATGTATAATCTTTAATTTGCCTTTCCTAGCTATAAAGCCCGAACACACTCTTCTCTTTCTATTTGTTACTCGTCTTGTTGATTTATTATCATCATCATCTTAATTAGTCATCGTCTTTCTGGACGACACACACGTTCTAACAGATGGCGCCTATGAGTCTCCCCCCTGGCTTCAGGTTTCATCGCCTACTATCTTGACCGCAAAATCAACGGCCGAGATATAGAGCTCGAAATCATCCCTGAAGTTGATCTCTATAAGTGCGAGCCATGGGACTTACCAGGTACTCGTTATGGATTTCTATGCGTATTATATTCATTGCGACACAATTCTTGACTTTTGGGAAATGAGTTTAAATAGATATTATAGTTTTTTTAGTGACTCCAGTAATTTTTATTACGAAAAAGAAAAAGATCCCTACGTATCTGAGCAGGGTATCATCATATATGTAAACACGCGCGCACACACACACACTGCATGTGTGCATTCCGTTAAACTCATGCATGGTTAACATGGATGATAAATAACGGGCAGACAAGTCATTTTTGCCGGGGAACGACATGGAATGGTATTTTTACAGCCCAAGGGATAAGAAGTATCCAAACGGGTCAAGGACGAACCGGGCAACCAGAGGCGGTTACTGGAAGGCGACAGGCAAGGACCGGGCGGTACACTCGAACAAGAGGGCGATGGGGATGAAGAAGACATTGGTTTATTATAGGGGTAGGGCTCAACATGGAACTAGGACTAATTGGGTCATGCATGAATACCGTCTCACTGACCCTGCCTCTTCTTCTACCTTAAAGGTTTTGTGTGTTGTCTTGTGGTTAAATAACAGTACTTGCATATATACCCGGCCGTCTGGTAACAAGGAAAGCTAATAACATTGTTTGGATGGCAGGATTCGTACGCGTTGTGTCGGGTGTTCAAGAAAAACAAAGAAGAGAATGTTGGAATCGATGATCAAATTAAGAGAGTGGATATTCCAAAGAGACGACAAGAGCGTGAATGAAGCAGAAGATGACCACAAATTACCATCAGATATGTCATCTTCAGACGAAGCCAACGGCTCTTCCTCACCATTTCCCTTTCATTTGTCCTCTCTTCTCTTTCAGGTACCTTCTATACTTTCTACGCTTGATAACAAGCATTCCTTCGTGAACCTGTTTTTCTTATCTTGCAGTGTAGCTAAAAAAATATAGAATTACATAACTCAAAATGATTTATATATGGAATTAATATTGTCTGAACTTTGTATTTTATTCAGCAGCACCTGTTAGTAGGGGTGTCAATTTAGGCCCAGATCGGA